TGGCAATAAATTCACCTAATTTAGACATAATAGACATATTTTAGTACATATCTAACATCTTTTTTTTAAGCTACATGCTGCAGGTCTAAGCAGCTGTTTGGTGTGAGAGTTCATTGCTGGGTGGAGGATGAGCGGCGCTCCGTCTGTGAAATATTACTTACTAGCTGTAGTGTTTAGTGGCGGTCCAAGAGCGAGAGCAGAACCAGCTCGAAGACTTGAATTATTTTTTGGATTATTTGTTTAGCTTTCTGACCGTCACTTTAATCCGGTGAGTGTTGGTAGCTGTGCACTGCTTTACCTGCTGTCTGGATCCGGATGTCCTTTTTTCCTGCTTTGAGCCTCAATGTAGCCAAACTCCATCAGGTGTTTGTTTTTTTTAAATGCCATTTTAGATTCGTTGTGTTGCTGCATTTTGACGTGCTTCACCCCCGAGGTAATTTTCCACCGCAACACGCAAACGTCCCCATTCTCTCTCAGAGCGTTAAAGTTCCACACAACAGGATTTGTTGCTGTGTGCTTGTGCAATGTGAAAGAAAGAGGAGACCAGCTGCACATGCAGGCTGCGAAGTGGGATAAATGTGATCGGTTTTGGTGATCGGCAACAAGACACAGTGATCACCGATCCACTTTTTCATGGAAATCGGCTGATTATGATTGGTGGCCGATCGATCGGCACACCTCTACTAATAACCAGATTATTAAATACAATCATGACATCATAAGAAAGCTTCTAACAATATTTCACAAGAGGAGGGGGAAAAGAGAGGGTAAATGGTCTTTTTGGAAGCTAATCAGAATAGAACGTGTTACGATTTGTTCGGATGCATTACAGTATAACCACATCAGAATTATTGACTGTTCCTCCAACTCAAGAATAGTAAAAGTTTATGAAAAGATACAAATAAATAGAAACAGAAAAAACATTGAGAAATACCTGATTTTACCTGGCTAAATCAAAGCAGTACAAAAACCATGGAGGGTCATTTTAATATCTCCCTATTTGATATTTATTCTGCATAATGAGCTTGATTTCTAATTAGTAGCAAACAAAAACAAGAACATTTACAGCCGCTGCCTGTCAGCTCCATTTTGTAACAACCCAGGACGTTCTGACGTCGCCATAGAGACGGTAATGGAACGTACGCATGCGCAGGAAGCACCTCAATAAACAGGAAAAAACTACACAAATGAAAGCGAGAGATTCAATCCACCCGGTCTTCGTTTATAAGGACAACATATGGGCTAATTTTGGTTTCTAATAAACTCCCGGAAAGACAGCGGTTGAACACGAGCTTTACCGGGTTCAGGGCTCTGAAGTTGTAGTTGTCAAACTAATGCTAAATTTGGCCAGTAGGACAAAGTCTCACGGCAGTAAAAACTGACACTGGACACAAATGACGTCAAAAAAGCTAAGCGTGTTTTCATTCCCGATAGTCCGGTAGACTCGGTTCGATTGGGAGCAAAACTGCAACATTTGGTTACATTTTCACACTGCACTGCGTCAAACGCAGCCCGTTTCCCTCCTCACGTGTGGGGGCGCTGCACCTAGAACCACTGAAGGAAACTATTAAAAAACTTCCGGAGACACTGAGCGCACAAAATCAAAACTAAAGAGTGGCGTCAGATTTTAGCGGTTAGAGGATTCCTCGTTTGCCTTTATCCAAATACCGTGAGCCATTTCTCCCGCTAGCCCTGAGCGTTCACGTTTGTTTTGGCTGAATTTACCCAGAATACCCTGCGCTGTAGTCCGCTTCCTGCTTTCGGAGTGGTCTCCGGCTTTTGTACCGCGCAAGAGCCGATTTCAACCGAACCGATACCGAGGTTTGCAGGCGGACAAAAGTTTCGATTAGGAGTTCAAACCTAACTAAACGAACCGAACCTTCTGGAAAAAACAACTGGAGTTCGAACAAAGCGACCGGCTGGTTGCCATAACAGCCACCTTTAATTGGCGATATGCCTTTTAAAAATGTTTTTGATGCTGAATTTAGAAACCACATTTTGTTAGAAGAAATAGAGTGACTTTTTTACAGTCTCGTAACATCCACCCTCCGTAGATCCGGTTCGGTCCGGTCGTTTCAACCCGACCGGATCCCTCACCTTCCTCTTCAGGGCGCTGAGTTTTTCCACCACTCCGTCCAGCAGCGACACCACGGAGTCAACCACCGGGAAGCTGCTGAGCGTCTTCTCCAGCTCCGCCACCACCATGGTCACGTGACTCGTCTCCCGGTCGATGTTCTTCTGGGCCGCTCGGAACCGTTTGTTCAGGGTCTCATACGGAACCTGGAAACACAGCAGCCTTACGTCACGGCTAAAAGGTCAAAGAACCGGTTCAGATCGTTCATTCAAGAACAAGCATGCATCGCAAACATGCATAAACATGCAGATCAGCAATTAAGAAAAAAAAAATCATCTGCAGAAAATTAAATTAAAAGGAGCTCGATTCCCTTCCACAGATTATGTCAACCAAATGATAATTCTAAAGTAAAAAACATTTTTATTATAAAAGTTACATACTACAGCTGTAATTCTAGTAAATGTCACCAGATGTTACTTCTCCTTCTGTTAACATTAAATACAAGACAAAATATTATGCTGAAATAATGTTAAGAACATTTTAAGAGTGGAGGACAGATTTGTCCATAAATGCATGCAGAGGACGGCGCTGATCCACTGAATGAATGAATCCCTCCTCTTCGGTTAATTTCACAGGAAAACTGTGCCAACACTCCAGCAGGAACTAATGGATCCCATTCAGAAATCTGTTGAAGTCCACCAGCAGAGTGGGAGCGTATGCTTCAGCCATGAAGCGACTGTTCGTCCTCACAGACTGAGAGACATCTGCTGAGACGTTTGTTGGTTTCTGAAACAGTCATCCAGCTTCATGTCCGCCTCTCAGGCTCCGTCCGTCTGTTTACTGCTTCATTTAGACCCTGGAACGTTTCCACATAGTGCCATTTACAGCACAATCAACCATGTTAGCATCAGTTATTATAAAAATGCAACAAATATCAAATATGAATTAAAGGAATATGGCTTTGTAATTTAACTCATTGGAATCGGGCCTCTGTCTCTTTAAAACTCCTCTTTCTGAAGCTCCGCCTCCAGGAAGTCATCCAACATGGCTCCTCTATTAACCCTTTAACGTTTTTACCAGTGTTGCTCTGAGCAGCAGCTCCTATAATGAGCTCAGAAGGTGTTTGCTATTTGCTGCTGGCTAGTCTAGAGGAGCTGAGTGGGGAGGAGCTGCACCTCGAAGGTGGGGCTAGGTCCACAACTGCACAACTGAATGGTTGCCATGAAGATTAAATAACTTCTCGAACATGTGTGGAAAAATTAAGACAACACTCCATTTTTGATTTTGATGAGAGAAGAACTAAAATAATGGGCAGATTAAAAAAAAATTACATGATGCTGCTACTGTAGAAAAGTAAATAGGATGAGGCAAAAATATATATAAACTACAAGAATTTATTATTTAAATATAGTCATAATATTAGCAAAAGAAAGATGCACTTTTACTAGAAAAACATCTTAAAATAATGAGAAAAAAGTTGTTTTAATGAGAGTTATCAGGATGAGCTCTGGATAACTGGACTGCAAGACGCCAGAAAAATATATATTTTTCCTCCATCGTCCAACTGGTCAAATAGAAAGCTGGCATACAGAATGAGCTGGTATGAGAGTCTAATCGTTTAATACCCCTCAGCAAAAATACAACAATCCCCTTGTTTCTGCACAAAAATGTAAATGATGCAAAACCTGATCTACGGAAAAATATTAATCCAATTGCTGCTGAAATAATAAAAAGTACTAATAAGTCATAAGAGTGTTATAGATAGAATTTAATTATTATTTTTATTCCTTTAGTCCACAAATTTAAACAGAAAAGATGACAGATGGTTTTCTAAGGTTATAAAGTGATGAAAAATGGGAATTAAACAATAAAGTTTCTGTTACAGTTTTTAACTAGGAGAGAATCTTACTCTGCTGTCGGGCTGAAACGATTAATCAGATTATTGAAATAATCATCAACTAATATAGTAATCGATTAATCACTAACTGGAGTATATAGAGTCAAAATAAAACATTAGCTGAAGGAACAACACAGTTGAAGCCAAAATTAAACCAACAATTTACAATAACATGTGTTTTTTTTTTAAATCGTCTCCATCTGTGTATCAAACACAGAAATCCTCAAGTGGCAGTTTTAGTTTCACCTGATTCAAATTCTGCATAAAAAAATCTCTCAACTCCTTTGGCATTAAATAATTGATCCAAAAATTAAACACTGGATCAACCCTCTCATGCTTTTAGCTGCAGATGCATCTTTTGCTACAAATAATCAAGTAGTTCACTCAAAGAATGCTGCCATTGCATTTTAGGAAATAAAAAGGATTTGAATTATGCACTTTTATTTTTAATAGTGTATCAAAATAAGCTTAAATGGTCCAATGAAAAATATGCAGAATGTTATATTTTTGATCAGATTACTGGATTAATCATCTGATTAACTAAAATAATCGCTCTACTACACTGTAACAAGCATAACCTTTGGGATGAATTAACTGATATTTATTCTAGTTCTAATAAAAGCTAAACATGGAGAAATGTTTGAATTTTCTTTGTGATTTTTGGATAGAAACGTAAAGATATGACCTCAGCATCATCAGAAACGTTTCTTAATACTCCTTCATGAGGAAAATCGCTGCTGCCACACCTAGAGCAGGGAGATAAGATCCAGTTTGATGCGTTTAGCTGGAGATGGAGGTTATTATGAGAGACATCTGGGGTTTTTCTGCAGCAGCATCACTGCTGTGCTGCACAAAAAGCCTCTTCTGATGCCAATTAGAACATCAGCCTGGTCCCAAAATGGAGCCCATCATCTCCCTGCAGCGGAACCACAGCGGTCCATTCCAGCTCGGTTTCACTGAGCCGGTACTCACCGCGGGTGTGGGTGTGGAGGCGCTGTCATTGGACCGGGTCCGCCGGTGTCGCAGTCCCGCTCCGTGGGATGGAGGAGCGGTGCGTGTGTGCGGCAGCCGGCGGCGGTTTCTCCTGCTGGCCATTTTGAAGCGCACACAGGCGGCAGGAATCTGATGACACTGCGCTAACACACCGAACCGCTTCCCCGAACCCCAACCGCCCAGAACCACCCCGAACCAGCTCCACGGACCGGGTCGGTTGGTTTTCACCGTTAGCAAGCGAATCACGTCTGCTCCAGAAAGGAAGAGCAACCATGTTGTTTCAGCCTCTATTGAAGATCCGAACCCGTCCGTTTAACCCGAACCGGGTTGGGCAGCAGTCAGAACTTTTCACATTTTACCAAAGAACTCAGATTTTGAGGGTAACGGGACCGAACTAACCCACAGCGGGTTCAGTTTGCCTAAAACTGAGCCAGAATTTGACCTTTGGAGGGATTCTGTCCCAACAATCCGAACCGCGAGCAAAGCAGATCAGCACCGAACCCGTTAAAGTGTAAACGGTTCTGATTCTTGCCTTTAAACCCATGAGGCTGATGTTCTGGCCATGCTAGCTTAGCTAACCTTAGCCACTTTCCAATTAACCACCAACCAACCTCTTTAAAACAGAACCGAACCCCCCGGGAACCTGGAGCACCCCGAACCAGGGACGTGCACCGGTGTGTGGCGTGTTTACCTTCAGTGTGGGATATTCCTGGACCTTCAGAGCCATGGACAGCTGGGCTGCTGTCTCTTGCACCGCCATCTTGGTTCTGTGCTTTTCTGCTGGCTGTTTTTGTTGTTTTTTTCCCCTTCAGCTCAGAATCGCCTCAGTGTTCACTACCGCCACCTATCGACACGGTGCCGATACTGACGCAGATTCCTATGTTGCGTTCCAGTTGTAATCGAAACTGGGAAAATCAATTGAAAGGTGAACGGATGTCGGATTTTCCACTGGGAATGCAGGAGCAACTCCGATTAGAACTCGTCAGGTCATCGCGTTTCATTACGGCCGCTTCTCGCATTATTTTACAAAACAAACATGTAAGAGTGTCTCTAAAATCAATGTCATTTATAACGCCTCAAATTTAAACTAAGAAAAAAATAAATAAAAGTGATGTTTTTGTAAGGAAAATACAGCTTAAAAATATGTTTGTCAGAGATGATTCAAACAATGTCGATGAGTGTCGCCATATTGAAATCCGAACTCAATTTGAACACTGTTCCTTCTGAAGTAACCTGAACGCACCACTACCCTTTCCCCCCTTTTTCTCTACTCCTAAACTACGGAAGAGGATTAGGGCCACGGAGAAAAACAATTCTGATCTGAAGGTTCTTTAAGGCTTTAAAAGTTCTGACTTTTATGAAGTGGAAAAAATATAGATTAAATCAGAATTCTGACTTTACGGTGAGAAAAGTGATGACATTTTATAAAATGTCATCACTTTCCTGTTTATGGTAGCAACACTCTGGTGTGGAAGCTGTTTCTGGTGATTGAAAGAAACTTCAGGGAGGCTTGGAGATGTACGAAGCAAATTCCAAATTGTTTGAACATTTCACTCAGGTTGAGGGAGAGAAGAAGATTTTTAGCAACTAATAGGAAGGCTGAATGTTTTACGGTTAAGTTTTATCGGTTTGAATTTTTCCCAATTTTCTTTCAAGTTGAGCCTTGAATGTTAATAGACACAAAACCCAAGTCAAAATGACCATAAATTAGTCTTTCTTTTGAAATAGTTGTAGAATTTATGGCATTTATTAATAATTAATTATCACTCAATGCATGAATGGTAGGAAGATATTTAAAATATTTTTCTGTATTATATTTTCTGAATGATAAAAGCAATTTTGGCAGCAAAAGAAGGTAAAAATCCTTTTTTTTGTAGAGTCTCATTTAATCTCTTTAGGTTGTACTTTGATTCGGTTTTTTGTTTAGTTTGTGGACCAGCAGCCATAAAAACAGAAATATTTCAACCCAATCATGTTTCTGTTCATCACATCTCTTCTATTGAGCGCCAAAACAAATAAGTTAACAAAAACAGAATTAACTCCTCAATTACATGAATTTTAGGCAATGAAATGCAATAACTTAGCAAAATGTGATAAGACCTGAAATGGGAATATTTTCTTATTTAAAAAAAGGATTAAATTGTTTATTTGCATCTTTGAATGTATTTCCAATATTGCCCAAAAAAGGGTTAAATGAAAAATATCCAGACCGTGCCATTTTAAAAATCCAACTAATCAATTTATCAATGTATTAATAAAATAATCATTAGTTGGAATTTTAATTAAAATTAAGTAATATTTTTCTTTTTGTTTCTGCTGATTGAAACATATTAATCAGTAATGTTTGTTCTAATTTAAATGTATATATTATTATATATAATATTTGTCACATTTTTACACTTTTGCATGAGCAAGAAAATGGAAGAAAAGGGACAAAACGTTCCAGAGTGAAATCTCCCTCTGTGACATAAATCCTGCTCCTCTCTTCATCTCCAAACGGCTCCATCCGGAGGAGCCGCCTGCGCCTGCAGCGCGGTCCATCGCCGCGCTGCAGCGTCTGAGGCGTCCTCTCTGCTCTGCAGCTCATGGATTCCTGTTTGTCTCTGACGTTCAGGCCTCTCATGCATGCTTCTGGTGCAGCAGCGGCAGGTTGTGAGGACGGTTTTAACGGACTGGGTGTGTGATCGATCGCTCTGGGTCTGGCTGGCTGTCGGTTCTGATACGGCCGGCGCTGATCGGATCTGCAGCAGAACCATTAGACATGCTGCAGTGGAGATGAAGGAAGAAGAGGAGAGAGGATCAGATTGGGAGGGAGGGGAACTTCAACTGGCTCTTAAAAATCTAAAACAATTATAAAGAAACTGATGAAGATTTCGTAATAAATTCAGGTTTTAGCTATTTTTCAGCTTTCACATGTATTTTTCTTATTAGAAATTATGTGCAAATATCAACATCCACTGTATGGATGTATGAAAATGTTGCTATTATCTTATTTTGAAGATGCAGTCTGTAACGTCCATCCATCCATTTTCTGTACTCTCTTGTCCCCTGTGGGGTCGGGAGGAGCTGCTGCCTCTCCAGAAAACGTTCTGGAAGAGAGGTGGGGCCACCTGGACAGGTGGCCTGGACAGGTGGCCTGGACAGGTGGCCTGGACAGTGGACAGGTCGCTTGGACATTGGACAGGTGGCCTGGACAGTGGACAGGTGGTCTGGACAGGT